CGATCTTCTAAGCTCGCTAGACGGAAACTCCATTTTCTGACCGGAATCGTAATACGATCAATATAGATCGAAATAATAGTGGCATGTATCCGTTACGTCTATCGTTGTGCATCTATCAGAATCGGGTTGTTGTTAATTCTGCGCGAGAAATTCATTCTCGGCGGGTGTGTGTGTGTGTGTGTGCAACTGCTTCCACATCAAACTCACATTTGACACTAAACGAAACGCAACAAATCGAAGATTTACAATGAGCTTTCTTGTACGAAGCTTAATCTTGAATCAACTGTGTTAATGTTACAAAGGAAACAATTTAGCAAATAAAAGGTTTGTGATATACATTAAACAGTAAAATTTTACTTTCATTGTCCTCCATTCAAGTAAGGATTGTGTTACTGTTACTTAACTTCAGCATTTTACAACAAGTATCTTATAGTTATATTCACAAGAGGAATGATAAAGTACTCTAATACGCAACGGTTAATTAAAACTGTCAATTTAATAAAAATCTTGATCATAACGCAGTATCGCTTATAATATTTACATAATGTCTTTTTTCTCTATTTAAATTAACATACACAATTTATTTAGCACAGACTACAATAAACAATATTGAATTCAATTATACTTTATACTTCAGTACATTCATTACACTGATATTCCACAGAAATTCATAAAAATTCGCAGCCTAATAATTACATTGTGCCATAGTCCCTGTTCACCGTAAGTGGAAACAGTCAGTGATGGTTGGACGTATAAATCAGCCGTGCTGGCTAAAACGCGTGGCCGGGGCACGTATAAATTTAATGTTCGTTGAAATAAAGCACTGTAGGACTGAATTTCACCCCGCGGTTTTGATTTATTTATACACCTGCCGTCACCCCGCCATTTTATCAACGAAGGTCTGTGAACATTGTGCCAAAGACGTTCGAAATTCCAGAGAAAAACGATCGAGAAGTTTTAATTGCGCGACGTAACCGTGCTTTAATTGTTGCCGCCAGTCGCCGGCTAGTTATTGTAACGTATTTGAATTAATTTCTTCGGTGGCAGTTTACCTTCGCCGCTCACGACTCGTTAAAAAGGTAACGCGAAGATAAAACAGGAGCGGCACAATAGTTACCCGGCTTCATTATTGTGTTACGCACGTCGACTGTTTTTGCCTCGCGGTTTTCGCATTCGAATTGAAATTTTTTTTTATATTGTTCATTAAGAGAAACAGTTATGTTTTTTTTAACGCCGGGAAAATTGTGTACATTAATTTGTAACCGTTTGCACGGGCAGCGACCCGAGAATGCGCCGCGCCGTGTCGCCGGAAGGAAGAGAAGAAAATTTCAAACTTTATTCACCATAAAGTGAACCGAGACGTTCCGATGCTTCCCTTCGAATATTCTTGTCCGCGTTTCCCGTTTTCTCCTCGTTCCCTCGAAAACGTTGCGCGTCTATGAAAGCATACGTTTATTTCCGGTGTTCGTTTTATCCTTTTTCGGTACGATATCGTTGAAGTGATATTGCTATTTCAAAGACATTCGTTTGGTACTGACTCAAATACTGCAAGCGGGATACGAGAAAATTTCTTACGCGATTCTAGAAACAATACGCAGACCTGACGAATGATTAACAGTTTACATAGAAACACCGAGAGATTAATCTTTGAGCAGAGATACGAAACTTTATTTTAATTGCCACGTATTTTGCCAATGCGTGCTTCATTTATTAGTAATTTCAAAATTATGTGTTAGATAAAAAAGATTTTAGTACTTTTCTGATGTTATAAACTTATAAATAAGATGATATATTAAAATACACGTTAAACCAAGTAATATTAACGTAAGTATTGGAATGAAGTATCAAAACTATTTCAAATACAAAGCATCAATTCCATTACTTCTTCCTAGTCAACATTTCTCAAGTTTCTCACATTAACGTGTTCATAGGTGACACATTACAAAGTAATTCAAGTATATTATACAAACATTGATTTCATTCTTCCTTCTGTTCAAAAACTACCCGAGTTTCTTTACGATTAAGATATCATATTAAAACGAACATCAATATAAATACTCGTAACGTAAAACGCGCAAATATAAACATATGGAAAAGGTGAACCTCGTTGAAGGAACAACTGTCGACAGTTTACAGTTTGTCTTGAACGAGCTCAACATGTCTCACGCCCGCCTCGCCAGGTCGCCGAACTACGTCGAGCATATTGCATCGCGGCGGAACGCAAGACATAAAGGTCCAAGTCAAAAAGGTGAAACGAGAGGCGGCGGGCAACGAGAATAGAGTGATACGCAGAGAATTTTATGTAGCATTCGATAACAGCGGCAGTTCGCGTGCGCCAATATCTTCGTGTCGAGAGAAGGAGGGCGCGGGGCTGTGTTTTTACGGCGTCTTTTTGCAGCGTCGCATAAAAGTTACGCTGGTACGCGGGCTTCTCGCTCGAAAACCGAACGACAATAGCCTCTTGGAAACGAGCCAGCTATGTATTCGTTTCTTTCCTTTTTTCCCCCTCGCCCCTATCTCTCTCTCCCTTTTTTCGTCAGTTATCGACAATGAATATGTTCGTCTCGCCGGTCCGGGGCTACAATTATAAAATTTATCGAAGCGACGAGAGGAGGGCAGGGGCGACAGACATCGAGACGGGACAAAAGAGAGGAAAAACGAGACGATAAAGAACGAGAAAAATGCTTAGAGAGGAATCGAGGATCGGAAGTGAAATAATTACTACCGCCTTTCGAGGAGAACGGAGATCGGCGCGAAGATCGAGCCGGATCATCCTCGAAACAGCGTTAACAACAGCGAGCGTCGCGTCTAATTAAAAGGATTACTAATTAAGCTTACTAATTAATGGCGCGCTGTGAACCAGCGTGATATTACGTTTTAATTACCGAGCAACATCTTTTTCAATCCGACAGCGTGGCAACGTGCGACGTGACGGTTGCCGAATCTAATTAATTTTCTACGGCTATTAACGAGTCGGTCGCGTGCTAGCCACGCGGATGGGTCGACGTCCTTAGGTCCCGACGCCATCTTGGACGCAAGGCGACGTGAGATTATTGTGGATATTAAATTTCAGCGGCTACGCCCGTGGCCGGATATTAAATTTTAGTCCCAGCGAGCAACGTCGCGGCATAATGCGCCCGGTGCCCCCGACTTTCGCGCGAAAATCGTTGTCCGACTAGCCGTCTACAGCGGCGCATCGCTTTAACCCTCGATAATCGAGTGGCGTTCACGGAAGCATTTTCAAATTCGTTTATTGACACTGAACGTACCAGAACTTTGTATCAACATATGACACTTTAAAGAGATGCAACGAATATAAAAGGTAATTACATTATAAAGAAAATTTCAGTTTCAATAATTTTAGTTTTGCTTCTTCAAATGTAAGTATTATCAGTAGATTACTGAGATTTTTTCAGTTGAAATGTATACCAACACCACGTGAATGAGCTAGTTTTATCAGTGTACCGTAAATAACAGTATTAAACGTATTTTCCGATTTCTACATGTATTCGTTATAGCACTCAACTGGAACTGTTCATTTTTAAAATCTTTTCGAATATTTAACACTCTCAAGATATCAATAATCGCGAAATAAGAAAACTGAAACCCGTCATTTTGACGGCTGTAGTAATTCTAGCGTTAACACTGTATCTACCGTAAGTCTATTAATCGGTTCTTCGATTTTGAATGCTTAACAATTGGTAACCTATTAAAATTACGTTGGCTTAAAACAAAAAAAGTCAGCACGATATTACGAGATTCTCTTACACTTTGATTTTAAAGTTACAAAGCTTTGCAAATGAAAACGTACACTCCTGCACGATGATGAAAACCATATTGGTAGTATAGTGAGTGGTTGCCTTGATCAGGAGTGATAGATAAAATGTTAATGTTCCATGTTGTTTAATTATTTATCAAAATGTTTTGTCAAGCATTTGGTTTAATGTTTCCATATTTCTTTACGTCCTGTGTGTTGCTGTCAAATTCGTGTCTTGTCTATTTTAGGACACCTTTTAATCGATACACTCGTTAAAAAAATCGAAACAATTTCATGTACAGACTTTAGTGAAATGTTAATGATTTTTTTAGCTGTTCTTCCTCTGGAAATTACACTTTACACAGTGTAACATGCAACTAAAATTTTTAATAAGCCTGCACAGTACATTTTTTAGTAAAGCGGTTTTTAGTAAAATTTAACCGTCCTGGCCGTCCTCTGTTGCCACCTCTGCTAACGCCACGATATAATTCTTCGCGGCGCGCACCTATCGGCCGTGTTACCGCATTTGCGCCCAGCCAGACCGATGTCCCTTGGGCTTTTATTGCCGTCTCGTACCGAGAGAGAGAGAGAGAGAGAGAGAGAGAGAGAGAGTTCAGCGCTGGAATATTACATTTTGGTAGATAGGCGAAATTATCGATTATACGATAGCGTGCCGCTTTTCATATAGAATAATAGCGTTCGAGTGCCGGCGACGTTGGCTCGCTCGGCCCTGGCTATTAGCCGGCAATCTTTCTTCAACCCCCATGTATTTTCGACACTGAGGCACACCTTTTCCTGTGCATGGGAAATTAAGGTCGCGAATGTGTACAGCATTCATTGTGATTTTCCATTGTTTTAGGATGAGTGAGGCGTTTATAAAAGTGAAATGAAAACAGCTAGCATGAATCAATGCGTTTCTATTCTGCAGATGGAAGAAAGGATGATAGGCGATATTCAATTGTTACTTTTTAGGAAATGGGAAAATTTATGTTAGGTTTGCTTTGGAATATAGTAATGGAGATGGATTTTGGGTATTTTTCTAAGTGTTGTTGGAAATTGGATGGTACTGTCAGAAAAATATTACAAATATATAGACAGAATATGACTGAAAGTATTATTTGTAATAGTTTTAGAGGTGAACAGATGTAAAATATATATTTTCTGAGTAAGATTGTGTCTGTTCCACAAAGGACACTGTCAAAGAAGATTCACGAAAAGTTTGTAAGTAAACAAAGAAACTTACCTCCTTGCAGAGATGGGTAAATGTAAAACGAGGGCTCCTGCAACCAGGACACTACGCGGACCAAATCTTTCACGAAGCTGGGTACGACGCATCGTAACACTGCCGTGCATCCCCTCGACGCACCCCCGATCACTTCCACGTCGACTTTGTATGCTTGAGCCACCACTGTGAACAAATAATACTGGAGTTACTTTTATTCATCCCCAAGGTAGCGCGCAAACTTATACACCTAAAACTTTATCAAACAGTATCAAATTCTCGTCCCGTAATAAAGTTTATATTGCAAAGAGAGTCACAGACGAAGAAACGTAGTCTCTTAGATAATGCAACTTTAGATAATGTACTATTGATTGTAATACGGCATTGATTTCCATTAAGGAATCGGTGCATTCGAAATGAAGATACCATTTAAGCAAATCAGAAATACAATGCAATTTCTTGGAAATTATACAAAGGCTGAAAACGGTATATAGGGTGTTCATGTTATTATTTAGTGTTTTCCTCGAGAGTAATATACATGTATGTAAGAGAAAAAGGGAATACAAAATATTTCTGTGATTATTATTAGTACAATGCTATGAATTAAAAAATTATTGTGCATTATATTATTCAATACATCTTGACAGTCACTTTTTTGAAATTTTATTATTACAGATAAAGTAAAAGTGACTGTCAGAATGTGTTCAATAATATAATGCACAAAAATTTTAAAATTCATAGTCATATTGCGAAAAGCGATCTCTGCTTCACGAAAGATACAACAAAAATAAAAACTTAGCGTGCCGTATTCCAATAGTCATGAAAAACATACATTTCATTCCCCTTTCATTTCTTTTTATATTGACCATTTCCGAGAATAAAAACGCTGCACTACAATAATGCTAACTCATACGTACAGTTTGATTAGAAAATACTTAACCTCTGTTCACTGCTGAAACTGAGTGCTACAAGAGACTCGTAGACGAGCAAACGCAGATCTTTCATAAAGAACAATGAACCGTGATAGCCGAAATTACATTTTCCTTTCGGAATAGATTCGGCCAAACCAAAAGTGCCGTTAAAAAAATACCGGAAAAAGGAATGATGGCGGTACACGGTGCAATACTACCCGTTATAATTTTCATTGTGCACAGATTACGAACCGTATCGGAACGAGTGTGGTGGAAACGCACTCGATCCGGCGTGCTGCACGCTCCGGGGGAAATTCCAATTTCGGCTGGAAAACGATCGACAGTCGAGGCGTTAAGTGTTTTAATTTCCAGAAGAATTTCCATCGGCGCGGGCGCAAGCGTGCGCTCGCGTCCAAACTGCGAACCCTGGCTGATGGCCGAACACTATTATTAGTTTTCCCCGGGCAGAAAACATTTTCCCTGGAAAAGGCTGACGGCTGCTAACCGAGGACTACAAATCTCGTGAATAATTGACTAAATAAAGAATGAAAATCGGTATTGCGGGGTTGTGAAAGGACATTATTATGACACTTGTATACCGAGTTCAGAGAACGGTCGATAAATCAACTTTATCGCAGAATATTCAACGGGCGAAGAAAACTTCGAAAAAATTTTGCTTGAATTGCTGAATAGAAATTCTTCCAAAGAAGAATTGTTTGATTTGTAAAGTGTTTGAAGCTTCCGGGTGTCAGCTGTGTCCATTAGGAATTATTTCCCGAAGTTTTGCTGGCATTCTAGCTAATCAGGTTGTTGGAGGATTCACTGATTCTGGTTAACCAGAAGCAATGCTTCCTATTTAAGCATACCTTGTTCGGAATTACGGATGGATGGATCGGCTGACCAATTAAAAACACCGAATTGGTGACCATCCATCCGTAACACGGAGCATGGTGTGCTTAAGTAGAAAGCACTGATTCTGGCTAATCAGTATCAGTGAGTCCTCAACCCCCCTGATAATGCCAGCTATAATGCTAGCGAAACATCGGGAAATAATTCGTAATGGACGCCGGTTACACCAGACAGCTTTGAGCACTTCTCACAGTATTCCTGGCCATGAAAGCCTAAAACGAATTGATTTGGTAGCGAAATTAAAGTAGCGAAACAAGTTAATTACAAATGTATTGTATTTACAGTTCGTACATGTAAATTCAGTATGATGAAAAGGGATTGAAATCGCACGAGTAGGTACCGGCCATAAAATGACATCATCTGTTTTAAATGTTCATAACTTGCATGTTCTACGAATTACATAAAATTGTATGGGCGATACGTTTTTTACACTAGAAAAACAAGGATGTGAGAGGTTGATTTTTCTGATTCACCAAAATCTATAGACTTAGACTCTAACTTCATAGCTGCTTGAATTAATAAACCATGAGCAGTTAACTTCAAAGCTTCTTAAAGTAACTAACCACGAGCAGTTACCGAACTATCTCGTCTATTCGCAATTACGTCAGGGTTGAAACAAACGCATTGGAACGCAAAATGGAACCGCGAACAGATGCATCAAGAGACGAATATCAACGGAAGAAAGAAATTTCCCGGTGACGGGTGTGCAGGGGGAGAAAGAATCTTCGCCGGGCGTCGCGACGTCGTCGTCGTGTCAGGTTGCAACGTCGCTGGCAGCTGGCCGTCGCCCTTGGAATTTCCACGTAAATAAAATCTCCGGAAGAGTATAGTGCCTCTCGAGCGGCCGGGCGACGGCAGAAACAAAAAAGGAAAGGAGAAAAACGACCGACAGACGTCGAGGACGAGGCGTTCGTTACGCTCGCGTCGCCTCACGCCTCGCCGCTTCCAGACGCCGACGTCGAGATTCACCCGGTCGTCGACGACGAGTAACGACGTGACACCCTGTACGACGACTCGATGCGTGTACACGTGTTCCGGTTTTTCCTCTCCCTCTCTCCCCCATTCTTTTTTCTATCAATCACTCAGTCATTTCTACGCATTCAATCATTCCCTCGTTCTTTCTCACTTATTTAACCGGTAACTCATTCTTTCTCACTCTCTCTCTCTCTCTCTCACTTAATTACTCACTCATTCTTTCTCATTCATTCAATCACTCGCTCGCTCTCTCTTTCTCATTCCCCTACTCTCTCTCACACTTTCCTGTTATCCTCTTAATCTCTCCCTCGGTCTACTACGTGCCTCTCACGTATTTCTTTTCTATCACTATCTCTTTCTCTCTTTTCCGCTCTTTCATACTTCACTTTCTTATCCTTTCTCTTTCTCCTTTCCACCTCCACGTCTCTCTTCTGCCTATCTACTTATCTGTCTTTATCTTTCACCATGTGTACGTGTACAGTATCTAACTTCAAGAAGCACGCAACGGGATCCGCCGTGCGAGCATAGGATCCACTCTCGATCCGATTAACGCGTTTTAATTGCCGCGGGCGGAGCCTCGGCGCTCCTCGTAGGGAAGGGAGGATTCTCTGAACGATCGTGTTCCCTCGCACTAGGTCGAAAATTCAACTTAATGGAAATCCTGAGATCGTCTGCCGACTGCATGCGCGCTCGTTAAAGATTCCGGTTAAATGATAACGCGGCTAGGCGTGTGGGGCGGCTCGTTGCTTTCACATTTGTCGGTTTCGAGCGTTTCCTACTTGTCGCGCCGCGGCTGGAAATCGTGGTTACCACGGAACCATCGTGTCGCGCTTGTACCCTACCTCTTTTTTCTCCTGCCTGCCCGTTGGAGAGAGAATAACTGATTCCTTTTTCAGTGGCACCGTGGTGAACTACGTACGTCGACATTATAGGTTCGTTCGGAAGTGAATCGGTTCGCGATGGATCGCGGAGAACTTCCGCTCGCCACTCGAACCAGGGATAGAAATTTCTTTCGTTAAACGGAAAGCAGGAAGTAAAGTTTTAATTAACGGCCACACGTCCGGGCCAGAACTTTATAGCCGCGAGGGAGTGGTTGGCAATCCCGAAAGCGTCGGCCCGACCTCGCAGCTGCCGCGGATTTGCATTCAGATTGCATTTCTTCTTTTTCCGCTCCCCTCGCCTTCTTCCTCCCGTTTTTTTCTCTTTCTTTTTTTTTAAACAGGTAATTACACCGAGCCCAGCTCGCGTTACGCTGTACAGAGAAGCGACGAGGATCGTCTCATCTGCATCCGGGCGAGGCTCGGGACATCCTTCGCCGGGACACTAGCAGGATTCCGCCTCGTACACGGTCGACGCGTCCCCTAATGATCTTTTAATTATTTTTTCTATTATTCGGAGCTCCCCGGGCACAATCAACGTTCGCTCGCCTCGTTTAGCCGCGATTCAAGATTTTCGACCGCGGTGCGGCGGTGGAAAAATAAACAAGCCGCAATCACGGACGAGTTCAATCCTCGCGCGACGGAGAATGGCGGATGGGTCGCCGGTCGTTTCGTGCTTTTCCTTTTTCAGGCTTGTATTGTTTTTCTACGAGGTGTTAACGCATCCGTGACCGCATATAATTTTTCGACGTTTGTAGATGGACGTTGTAAAAGTATTCGCTATTCAAATATGTATGAATGGTAAGAAATATGCAATGGAAGTTATTAATCGTAAGAATGATCATTTTCTTTGTAAATTGATATATTAAATGGTATTAGCTCATGTTAAATATCATAGAAAGATATTAACAAATCCGAAAGCTATAGGAGAGTTAAGTTTTAAAAGTATTTATTATTGATCCACATTGTAATCGTATGTGTTTCAACGTTTATCATTAAATAATTTGATTTCATATGAAAATGTAGGTTAAGTTAATTAAGTGTAGAATAATCTCAGTTAATTAGTAATAATTATAGTACAGTTACGTTTGTAGATAATTCAGTCAGGCTGCAGTGATATTACATTTTAGGTTGATGACGTTGGGATGTATATTTTATACTGTGACAAGATTTCATTTTCAATGCACGCGCAAAATAATGCACGACAATAATTCTCAATACATACTTAAGCACTGCATAATGTATTATTAATTTAAACAAACTTTGTAAACACTTAAATATAATATTCTCTAAAAGTAAGAATTGTAATAGTAATTATAATTACTACTACTACTACTACTACTACTACTACTGCTACTACTATTAATGATGATGATAATAATAATAATAATAATAATAATAATAATAATAATAATAATAATAATAATAATAACGACAACAATATAATGTGTGTTGTATCGTACAGACTGAAACACAAATGAACGTATAAATCTACGGCAGCAGAAATAATCGTATTAATTAAGTTTATTACGATGATAGCATCTGCGATGAAATTATATACTCGACTGTGTGCTTGTCGGTACATTATAGATCCCTTATTTAATGGATATTTCCATGAGGAAAACAACCGTAAAGGGAAAAGTACGTTAATGGATGTAAGGGATGGTATACCCGTTTTCACGATGAGACAGTAAGCGAACGCAAAAAGAAGAATAGAATGAATGAGAAACATGGCTTTGAAATACAATTATGTAAAATTTCATCGTAATTAGGGAGACTGAAACTGAAATTTAATTTGTATTAAAATGTTATAAATTTTCTGCAGCTTCAAAGGTACAATTATGATTTTAATTACATTGAGTTCGATTCAACGTCCAATTATAAATGAAGATTCCCTACGTGCGCTCATATAAATATACGTTTCGATACAATGGAATGCTGATTATATGGACAATTAGCCAGGCACGAAGTCCGAAATCTTTGTGTTGGTTCGAGGAGGAATACTTGGCAGATGATATTATTGGCTAAGGATTTTAATTGTATGTACTTAAGCTTTAATACTTCTTTATCTTTATTTCCTTCCTTAAGTTATAATATTAATCTGTTGATTTATTTCAACATAAGACTTGTAAAAGTTGCTTCATTATTAATAACTTCTTAGTAATCAGTGAATAGCAATCACTGTTTCCAAGTTCCAATTAAATATTATATTCATGTTATCAATTATTCATTTTTACAGTAAACGTAACGTCAGAAGATGTAGGGTATAGAATATTTTATATAATGTATAGAATATAAAATTCTTGTATTCCTAGGATAGTATAAATAACAAAGTAGTTTTAATTAGCACAATTATAAAGGAAACGTCGAAATGGGGAATTAATTCTTTGTACTCGGAGACTCTCCACTAAGAATAGGTAACTTTTTTTAAAATTTAACAGTAGACAATTTTCTATTAATTCTTTGCGGCCGAGTCTTAAACATTTAACATTTGCTTTCATAAGAATACTGAATTATGTATCGAAGTCTTAACTAAAAGATAAAAGCCACGTGTCAATCTCTCGTTAGTTGAATAATTAAATTATTTATTTGCAGTTTTCGATTTTAAACATCGAAGCTGGAAGTCGCTATTACGACGAAATTTGACCGTAACGGGTTAAATATTAAATTTTATAATTCTGCTGTATGAAATCAAGTGGCGACAGAGACGTTTCTCCAGTGCTACGGGGTAACAGGTAAATTAAAGACGAAAAGTTATGGAAACATAATTTATAGATTGCAGTGAATTTTTTATAGTTTTCTTACCTGCTCTGACTTGCACATCACGACTGAGCACCCTGCCGACCGAGTTGCTTGCGACACATCTGTAGGCTGCGCTGTGCACGTCCTGTCGAAACGCGGCCGCCGGAAACGGCAAAAGGACCAGGGTGCCGTTCCTGAGCACCCTCCTGACGCCCGGTACGTCGTTTACCGGATGTCCGTCCGCGGTCGACCAATCGATGTTGGGCGGCGGGCTTCCGGTCGCTGTGCAGTCCAACCAGGCGCCGCTCGAATTCGAAAATTCCACCCGGGATGGTGGCTCCATGACGAAGCTGGGACCGCGCAAATGCGCGTCGAACCCGTGGCCACCCGCGGACATGGCTGCCGCAGCTGCACCTGTGTAACAAACAGAATAATTTAAAGATGAAGGTGGTTAATGAAATTGTGCTGCAAAAATTAGCCGTGTGCCTCAAACTTTGTCAATTGTCATATTAAAATTGCACGGTTTTTGAACTGAAAAGTTTGAAGGTTTGAAAGTTTGATGCTTTGATGGTTTGAAGGTTTGAAGGTTTGAAGATTTGAAGGTTTGAAGGTTTGAAGGTTTGAAGGTTTGAAGGTTTGAAAGTTTGAAAGTTTAAAAATTTGAAAATTTGAAAATTTGAGACTTTGAGAATTTGAGATTTTTAAACTTGAAAGTTTGCCCTTTTAAACGTGACGCGTTTATCGCGTGGATGATTCTAACCATGAACCATTGTAAATCTACGAAGAACGCGATCATTGCCGGAAAAACGTCGACGGACAAATTTTTCGTCGGCGAACCGCGAGAGTTTAATTGTGACGTGGATCGGTCTGCGGCCGCTGCGACCATTTTTATTATGTTTTTATGGTTGGAAACAGCGGTCTGACTTCTTCACACCCGTCCCGAATAATTGTAAATTCTGGAATGTAGTCACAGAATTTCGATTGCATCACCGGGACAGCGATACGGCTATTATTTTCCTTGAAATTGCAACCTGTTATGGAAAATTTTTGTGCCGGAACGTTTGTGCAATGTTTCGTATTTCATACGGACTTTGAAATTACTGGACGAGTTAATTTATGCCGCGATAAGGCCGCAATGCTGATGGGGACTGTGTGACAATACACTTTAAACAAGTGTTTACAGATTCAAGACAGAGTTTATTTATATTTAATGACGATGCTTGAAATCATGATTTTTATGCGATTAATTGATATATAAAGTTAACATACGATTGAAAATATATTGTTCTCAGTGTCTGCTATTTGTAAATATTTAAAAGTATTTTATATTATAGTTTTGAATTAAAATGAAATCATATGTAAGAATCGCAATGTTTGTAATTTAAAAAAATAATTTAATACTCCGAAAAAATCTTAGTGCACTAAAGATAGTTAAAGATATCGGCGGAACCTATAAATATCTATTTTTATTCATTCTAATGAAATGTCTACTTTTACTCAATCTAAAATAAAAATCTTTTAAGGAGAATAAGTCAACCATTAGGAAGGTGAAATTATCTTTTCAATTTAACTCAATATTACAGTACACATATTTAACAAAATCTATCCTATATGAAACGAATTAAAAAAATCTGGAATCATAAATAATTAATCCAATGGTAATCCATTCAATAACCACAATCATGGTCACTTTTATTATTGTAACACAGAGCACAGAGTGTTCACATTCTAATGCAGATTTCTCCCAAATAGCATTCAATACGCGCAAATAATACAAAATTCCGTTTACACAGCTATGATCAATGTACAGTAAATTCGATTCAGTGAAATTACATTGGGATCAAAGCTATTTAATCGTACGGGAAATGAGTTTACAGGTTCCCCTTTCCTTTTCAGGTCAATGTATTCCATCACCATGAGAGATCGAAGAATATTAACTTCGAAAGTAAATTACCACCTATGATGCACAGTTCTGTTAACAAAGTTATTTGCAATAACCTATTATAAATCTACTTAATCAACAATTAAAGAGTTTGGAGGTTTCTCAACACTTTTATCATTAACGAACGCGAACACATTAAAGAACCGAAGAATATTATGAAGAAAATTAATATCTGCGATTCGGCGATTCGCAATATTACGATCGATTCGCTCAAAGAGAACAGTTCTACGAGTTTCAGGATTGGTTAAACGCTTCGGTTATCGCGACCGTCGCGTCGAAGCGGGCGGGCGCGTTGGCCAAGTTATCCTACTCGAAGTGTATCAGACACGCGGTACTTCGGCATTATGCTTTGATCGGGGGTGCGAAAACACGAGTCAGCAAGTACTCCCGGGCCTCTTGCATCGTTAGAAGCCACTCTAGGCTAATAACTCCGATCGGGCCACTCTCGCCGAGAGTGCAATTTAATTGTCCTGGTACTCGCACGGTGGCGAAAGAAACTACCAGTTGGCTGAGTTTAATTTAAGAGTCAATAGAGCATCGCCGGCGAACGCTTCAGTGTTAAAGGTATTCACGCGTCTAACGAGGCCTTCGTACGTCGAGATACACTTTAAATCTCAAAGGAGGAACGAATTCCAAATCTGGACGAAACTCATACCCTGTGCTGATATTCGGATTTGTTAAGTGTTCAAGTAGAATACGGTTGGGTTGGTCAGACGACATTTGGTAAGAAGTTAATATATATGTATATTGTTTATTTAATGATGGAAATTTATTTGTATACGTTGTTTGATTTAAGAAGACTTAAAATTAATATTATTTAATTTGAAGTTTAAATTATACATGTATTAACAGTTAGGTTGTTATTAGTTTCTACAAAAATGCAGTTTAGTGCGATGTTTAATAGAGGTTTAATATGATTTTTAATTTATTTGTGCATAGAAGGAAAAATTATACATTAAAATTATTTGCTGTGTAATATGCAATGTATTAATGAATATATTCATTACTTATGCTATTGTTAACGTTTACGAGGTATCATAATTCAATACACTCCTGCCACAGTGACATCATTGTGCTCAAATAAAAACCACAATTTATGGTCGAGAACGTTAATATTCCACCTAATATTTCAAACAGCCAGACATTCTAAAAACTCAATATTGATATATTTTTCAGCGATTGCAGGTCACAGGAAACCCATTCAAATTACGACCCATGCTCCACGAAATCGGACACACTTGAACAAATAATTACTGCGCCAGTGATAGTTCAATTGTCCACAATATTTCGCGACCCGGTTCTAGTGGACTGCTACCAACGTCGCGTCGCGTCCTTCCGAAATACCCGTATCGATCGCCGTTCCAGCGCGGCGCTCGGCTAATTAAAAATTCATTTATCTTAAATTCAATTCGCCTGTCGGGACACGAGACGGTACGAATAGTCGGCGAACGCTGCGCCGAAAAATTCGCTGCGGCCAAAAGAAAGGAAAACGATGATATGAAATTAATTCGTCCAATAAAGAACGCAGACCAGGTCGTCGCGCTATTAAAAAGGAGGAGCACCGCAGCGGTTCACGGACGCGCCGAAACGGCCTGGACACGTTATTGCATATCTCGACCGTCGTCCATAAGTGAAGAGCGGGTTCAGTGGAACGTGGAACTCATAACAACGTCCAGAGAACGACGGACTC